AACAATCGGAGCTTGACTTGACATTTCAGCAGCTTGAGCACCCATTTTGCACCCGTTTGTTTTTCTCAGTGTAACAGTGCCTACAATTGTAATGACAAGTACAAACGCGCTTATCAGGCAAATCTAAGCGATACCACCAATTGAGTCAGTCACAAAATAAAAAATGAAAAAAGATACGACAAGTTGACAAAACAGAACAGAACAGACAGAACATAAACACAAAGCACACACAGGCACACACACACACACACGTGTTCTATATAAGCACATATCTAAAAATACAATTGAGGAACTCACCTCAAGGATCGCTGGCTCATTTGTAAATTTACGACTTAGAGTATTAGGTAGGACTACGAAGAAGAAGAAGACGAAGGGCAAATGGGCAAGGGGCTGGCCTGTGGCCATATCGGATAATGTATTGTACGATCTGTTGTGGTTGCCCGGAACAAAGGGGAGGGCAAAAAAGAAGGTCTCTTGAAGGTCAAAGAAACTAATCGCTGTGATTGTCCGTAGACAAATTGGTGTCTGGCAATAGAAAGATCAAGATTTTATTTCCGGAACTGGGATCGAGAATACACAAGAAACTTCAATTGGATGATAATAAGCTGCTGAAATACATGCAAAAGGGGCATATAGAGTTATATAGAGTTTTTACAATGGACCCTTCTTAAATTTCAGTTTGTTACCTTCTCCCCTTGCCTAGTACACCTGCCCAAATATGGGCATGTGCTCAGCATAGCTCCATATCAGCAGAAACAGGTAGTACTTATGTTCGGGCTCAAGTGTTTGCTGCCATAAAAGTTGTTTACTTTCAAAGAACTGATAATGGTAATGCTCATAGATTCACGCATATCGTATTGATAAGACGCTCAGACTCAGGTACGCTGTCCGGGCTGAAGCTCAGACTTTATCAGAGGGTTGTAGAAATGTTTACATTCAAAGGATTAACCGATCGTCGTCTTCCATATATACTATATATGCATGCATATATCTTTTTATCTGAGGCCGCAAAAGTCTTCCGCAGTTTCTGCGACACGTGCCCAAACAGAAAGCTCAAGAGCCCGTAAAATTTCCAAGCGATCATATATATATATATGTATATAGATATATAAATTGCCAGACAAGTGTTGGAAATCTTAAAGCTAATACAAACAGCATATGAAAGTCGAAATAGTTGGACGGCTGGCACATGTCTCATTGCGATCTATTCGAAAATAAACCGGAGAGGACTTGAGAAAATATTTGCGAATTCTTGTTTTTCGTTCAATAACAAAAATTCCGTATTTGAAATATGCCAGCAAATTGTTGACATACATGTATGACACACCCCCTCACTGCCAAATATTTGTCTTTCAGCGAAACAATGGACAGCAAGTTCGGGTTAAATAATATTGCAAACATTGTCAAGACTCCTTCAGCTGTTTCTGTCTCTGACTCCGCTTTTCATTCGAATCGATGTTTCATTTGGGGAAATACCGCACAGATGTTTTATTTTCGAGACACTTCCAACTTTATACAGGTGCCACGCTTCGATGGCTGCGGGTGGAGGGGGGGAAACTATGGAAAAATAGGGCCAAAAGAATATGTATTCTATTTTTTTTTGGAACGCGTGTGTCGCATTTCCGAAACGTGTTCCACTAAAAGAACGAGCGAATAGAATTTTCGAAAATATATTCATAAAAACAACTATAAATTACAAAATCAAGGAAATTATCAGCGTCAGACGCGTCAGCAAAATTCAAAATGCCCCCCACATTCCCCCTCTTCCGACCCCTTCTCGTCGAGCCCAAACGTGGCGCTAGCCGAACAACAACATTAAAATCAAAGTTCAAAAAACAAATATTTTCTAAATAAGAAAACATGCGAAATTGTGACGCGATTTCATTTCACATTTTTCTGTCGTGAGAATTTTCATTTGAATTTCGATTAACTATTTAAAGCATTCACTCGGAACGAACTGAAGATTTCTTCATGTAGATTTGAGTGCCAAGAAGAAAGCCTATTTTCAATGAGTAATCGCAACAGATAGAAGTCGAGCAGCTTATCTGGCCAGGAACAGATAGTTGTGGCAGGTGTATCAAAACAATAAAATGATATGAGCCCAATATTTGTCATGCGTATTAATGGTATGAAATATATGGGGGTACGATCAGGTTCAATATTGAAGTTCATTGCAGTCTCTAGCTCTTATAGACTCAGAGATCGGGCAGACAGGCGATCTATATATATATATATATATAACTCGTACACTAGGAGAAACTATATTCAAAATCTAAAGTCCCCAGCTCTTATAGGCTTCGAGTTCGAACAGTTGCCACAGAGAGAACTCGGCAAGCATACACTCATGTAGTTTAAAGGGTCTGAAACGATTCCCTTGAACTGTTTACCCCATTTTCATTGGGCATATAAGATATCCAGAGATTTTGGAGCTGTAAAATCGAATAACTTTCCTATGACTAAAATGTAAGCTATGAGGATAAGAATAATAACAAGTAAGAGGTTCTAGTCGGGAGCTCCCGACTAGGGGATACCCTGAACCCTCTTCTTCCAACATCAAATGCATATATATATTCTATTTTAGAAGCTATCTATCTATCTATCTTATAGGTTCTGAGATCCTTGCGTTCATACATACGGACGAACGGACGGACAGACAGACGGACATGGCTAGATCGACTCGGCTATTGATGCTGATCAAGAATATATATACTTTATGGGGTCGGAGATGCTTACTTCTGCCTTCGCACAATACAATATATTCTTATACCCATTTTTAATGGGTTCAGGGTATAAAAATGCGACGGATGGCAAGAGAATACGTGGGAAGATGTGTAGACAGGACGTTTAAGGACCTTGTCCAACTGCGACAGAGGAGGTTCTAAAGTTCTTCGATAGCCTACGTGATGTTCCAATCTTATTTAAATGAGTCTTATTCAAAACATTATCATCTGTTCTCATAAAATTGTATGTTTTTATTGATCCAATACAAATATGAACGAAATGAAATACAAGCATTTTATTGTTTCCTTAAAAATGTAAAGGCAAATGCATTTTAACAACGCTTTATTTGTTGCTAATAAAACGAATTGTGAGCTGCTTTAAAAAACGAAACAATAGGTATTCTATCTTCTTATAACCTGAATGAATGCATTGACTTGAGCAAACACAAGAGCAACTCTTTCTTCTGTATTTGAGAGTAATCTGCCTAAAAAATGAACTTTTAGGTTATGTACATTCTTCTTATCTAGAGAAATGCCCTGTTTTGAGTCTAACTGTCTCCCTACAGGAGCTGCGTACTAGTTGAACGTAAGTTGAGCTCTTTCTACTGTATTGGAGAGTAAGTTGCGCTTCTTTCTTGACAAGTGTCGCAGTCGTGTTGCGCTGTTGCCGCTTTTCAGCCAAGTTCACAGCTCGTCGCCGCCCGCGCCCCGTTAGCCTTGGCCAGCGTACTGAAAACCGGGCTAGCAAAGCCCAAACTGGTTAACTCCAATTGTCTGGCACAGATCGTAGGCTGCGATGCAAGCTGAAGCTGATGCTGCAGCTGCTGCTGCAGTTGGCGTTGCTTTTGCTGCAGTTGCTGCGGCGTTGCCGCACTTCACTTGGCTGCAAAAGAAAGCTGCACCCGCTACAAGCGCAGCCCCCCCCCTCCCCTCCCCGCTGCCCCTGACAAAATAGAAAGCCGTTTTGTTTTAATTTTTTTTCCACAATTATTTTCCGCTTGCGCAGGAAAAATTATATGCTTTTATTTTTGTAATTTTTTTTTTGCCTTTGTTTTTGCTTCTTTTGTATGTGTTGTATTTGTTTTTGTTTTTTTGTTTTTTTTTTTTTGTTTTGCTTACATTTTGGTTACAAATTTCTCACAATTATTTGTTTTTGTTTTTAAATTACGCAATAAAAAAACTTAACATTAAATACAATATGTTGTTGGTTTTTGTTGTAATAATAAAAAATTAATACATGAATTTCTTGTTGTTTATAGTTTTTTGTGTGTGTGGGTGTGTGTGTGTTTTTTTTATATAATAAATAGTTTTCGATTTTAAAGATAAAGATACTTTAAGCTGGTATAGATACTTTTGTGTGTACGTGTGTGTGTGAGTGTGTGTGTGTGTGTGTGTGTGTGTGTGAGAACATTAAGTTTTCTTTGTTACGTTAATTTTAGTTTTTTAAAAATTATATCGCATTAATTTTGTTTTTGTTTTAGTTCTTTTTTTGTTATCAGTTTTTGCTGCTACATTTAGGTTATCAATTTTTGTTTTTTATCGCAATTGGAGTTTTACACAGACAAAAAAAAAATTTTACAAATTTTTTACGCTTTCACATTTACTGAGATATTCTTTTGCCTTAACATTAAAGCAATTATTAATTTTATGTGGTAATTTTTTTTTTTTGTTGTTTTCTTCTTTTTTTTTTTTTTGTAATTTTAATGATGCTTTTGTTGTACGCGCTATACATTTAATAATATATAAAAATTTGTTAAAATCCTAAAATTTGTTGGTTTTAATTAAGATTAATAAATAATTTAAAAAATTTTTAATGCAGCAAGCTGCGTCTAACTAAAATTGGATCGTTCGTCTCCGTCTCTTCGTCTCTTCGTCCCTTCGTATCGTCGTCTCTTTCACACTCGCAGCTGATCCTTGGATCAACAGAGTTTACAGCTCTCTTTACGATGCTTCTCTTATTAAACGTATGTTAAATTTTAAATTTATCAAGATCAAGTTTTTGTTGTTTGTTTTGTTTATTACTACAATAGCATACAATTAAAAAAATCTGTTCACATTTAATTTTTATGTTGTTTTTTTATTTGTATGTGTGTGTTTGTGTGTGTGTGTGTGTGTGTGTGTGTGTGTGTGTGTGTGTGTGTGTGTGTGTGTGTGTGTGTGTGTTTGTGTGTGTGTAGTGTGTGTGTGTGTGTGTGTGTGTGTGTGTGTGTGTGTGTGTGTGTGTGTGTGTGTGTGTGTGTGTGTGTGTGTGTGTGTGTGTGTGTGTGTGTGTGTGTGTGTGTGTGTGTGTGTGTGTGTGTGTGTGTGTATTTATCAACGTTTTTTGCCTGGCCGTACTTGCGAGCGCACGCAAAAAACTCTTAGCATCTTAAACAGTATCACATATTCATGAGTTGTCGACGAGCGACCCTCGCAGCGGCCCAGCAGAGAGAGCGAGAGAGGCAGAACGAGGGCTGGCAACAGAATTGCCTGCCTGGCCCTGGCCCTGACGCTCGCTGCTGTGGCTTGCGGATCGCCGTCTTTGAATTTCATGTTTTCTTTTTTTTGTTTATTTTATAATTTTTTTGTTTTTGCTTTTTTTTGTTTCGTTTGTTGAAAAAGGAGAAACAACTTAAAACACTAGTTATTTGTTTGCTTTTTGTTTTGTTGCTGCTTTTTATAGCATCTACTACGCATCTAAGTAAAATGGTGGTGAGAGTCACAATTACAAAATTGTATGCAAAGAGTTGCGGGTGAGCGAGCGGCGCAGGCTCAGCAGCAACTCCTTGTTATTAGTATGAGTGTGTTCGTGAGTGTGAGTGTCGTATACTAATGTGTATGCGTGTGTCTGTGAGTGTGTGTGTGTGTGTGTATTTGTGTAGGTGGGGTGGCTTCGAATACTTGCTTCGTCGTCGCGTTGCGCTCGCAACTAACTACTGCTCTCGACATCACAGGGGGTGTTGGGCGGTGTTGGGCGCGCTTCTTTGTCGCACTCGCTGGGCTCGCTTCTATATATATGTGTATATAAATATAACTGCGTCTCCGTCTCTCTCTCTCTCTCTCTCTCTCTCTCTCACTCGGCAATTGCTCGCGCTTAAGCTCTGGATTGCACTCTCGCTCTTATATCGTTGGCGTTGCAATCGCCTGGCTATGGCTTGAGCTTGAGCTGGAGCTTGAGCCAAAGCTGTAACTGCGCCTGGCACCCAGGCCATCGGCCGAGTAGAGCTTATGCTTGGTTATGGTATACTCGGGGCTGATGGTGATGGTGCGTGCCAGGCTCTTCATGAACTGCGGCAACAGGGCCGTCCAGCCGCGATGATCCTGCCGGAGCGTGAGATACACCTCGAACGTGGACACCGTCTCCGGGTCCACTTTGAGCGAGGCAATGCGCCGCGAGTTCTGTGGCTCATCCTCGAACTCCACGTAGATGGTGCAGCCGCGTGTGCCGCATGGCTCCTTCTCCGAAACGCGAATTATATCCGCCGCAATGTTCGGCGTGAGATCACAGGGTAGCGACACTTCGGTGCACGCCAAATGACGCGCCTTCGCCTCGCGCAGCTTGTCCAGCAGACGGTTCGAAAGCTCGCTAACAGCGGCCACATCGACGTCGCTGCAGGCCGCCAGCTCGTCCTCATCGCAGCTGTAGGAGCTGTTGCTGCTGCTGCTGCTGCTGCTGCTGTTGCTGCTGCTGCTGCTGTAGATGGGATGGCTGCTAGATTTTGTTTTCTTGCTGCCGATGCCGCTGCCGCTGCTGCTGCTCGCCTGCTGCTTGTGCTTAATACTGTGTGTGTTCTGGCCGCGGCCGATGATGCTGCTGCCGCTGCTGGCTGCGCTGCTGGCGCTGTTGGCGACGGTGGCGACCTTCTTGGCCGCAACGGCGGACGTGGGCGGTGTCAATGTGCTGGTCCAATCTAAAAGTAGCGCAAACAAGAGAAACAAAACAAAACTTTGATAAGTACAAGAAACCAATAAAACAAAACGCAAAGACCAAAAGAAACTACACAAACAACAACTTCGGGCTGAGGGCGACTTAGTGTGCGATAAAACGGCGTTAAGTTGACTTTGCTGCAGCTTTTAGCTTTAGCTTTTCTGGCTGTTCAATGTTCATTCGCACACACACACGCACGCACGCACGCACGCACGCATGCATGTGTGTGTGCAGCAAACGCTGCGCTTGGCAACAAGCAGCGAACGAGATAAAAGCGGCAGGGCACTGAGTGTGCGAGAGAGAGAGCGAGCGAGAGAGTGAGAGAAAACAACAAAAAATCATTTTTTACACAATTTTTTGTCCATTTTATTTGCTTTTCTTTGTTTTTGTTTCATACAAAAAATCGTTTTTTTTTTTTGTAAAACAAAATGTTGCGTACGTGACTTTGTAGCAGATGTTGCCCTTTTTATTTTGCATGTGTAAATTGATTTTTTATGCATTTTTTTTTTTAATTACAATAAAAAAGAAAATCTGATGAAATGCGCAAAGTAATTGCAATGCTTTACAAAATGAATTTGAATTCAATTGTAAAATAAAAAAACAAAAAAGAATCTTAGTTGTTTTTTTGAAAAATTTGCATTTAGTTGAAAATTGTAGTTTGATTTGCCAAAGAGTTCACGCTTTTTTGAAAACTCTTCGAAACTGTTTTCTGGAACACTCTAGAATGTGGGTTTTGGGCTGAAATCGTTTTGCAGAACTTACCTCGAACTTTGTTGGATCCCAGGACGCCGCCGTAGTTAGACTGCACAGCGAGAACTTCCATTTTCATTAGAATTCTTGATATTGGGGAAAATGTTCTGTTGTCGATTTTCTCGCTTCTAATTCAAGAATTGATTTCGCTTCTTTTTGTATCACTTGAAACGCTTTAACAAATTTAATTAATCGTTTTTCTTGTTATTATTTATTATTTATTATTTATCACAATTTGCTGGTTGTTTGTTTAAATTTATGCTGCTGATTGAGTTGAAATTAACTTGATTTGTTGTTCTTGTTGTTGTTGTTGTTGTTGTTTTGTAGTTGGAAATCACAGCACTTTTGTTGTTGTTGTTGTTGGTTGTTTGTTTGTAGTTTATCACTTAAATGGCGTTGGTCCGTTGCATTTGTTTGATGGCAATTATAAGATTTAATAATTTTCATAAAATTATTGAAAATTTGTTGTTGGGTTTTTTCTTTTTACAGTTACAAGTACTACAAGTACATTTTAGATGTTTTCTTTCTTTGTTTTTTTGCATAGAATTCTTCGTGAAACAAAATTGTGTTGTGTATTTTTGTAATGTCCAACAGTAGAAAATTTGAAATACACGCTATTTTGTTTTATTTTTTAGCTGCTTTCTTTTCTTGCTGCTTTGCCGTTTCTTACTTTTCTATGTGTTTATCTCAGCAGTGTTTCGAAGCTACTATGAAGCGCAACGCTCTGCACCGGCTATTTATAGGCCGGCTGGCCTGCGTCCGTTTCGCTCATTTGCTCTGCCGTCTCTGTCGTCGTCGTGGTGGTTGCTGCTGCTGCTGCCGCGACTCGTTTGAGTGAGCCGAATAAGCAACTACAATGCCGTGTATGTGTTTGCTGAGCAATTAGCGGTTGTGCTCTCCGCAAAGAGACCGCTACCGCTACAAGCGCGTATATACTCAATATGTGTGTCTCTGCCTCTGTCTGTGCATGTGTGTGTGTGTGTGTGTGTGTGTGTGTGGGTGCTGTAATTGTAGTTGTTGCTATTGCTGTGCGAGTACAGGTAGCAAGACACAGGCAGAAGAGTGCAAAACGGCTGATGTAAGTTGCCTGCCTGTTACGTGCTCTCCCTCACACTCTCGCTCGCTCTCTCTCATCACTTTGACACTCATCAGCTGTTTCACTCAACGCCCGACTCGCTCATGCGCACCTACAACCGGCCCCGGCATTGTCGCCGTTTCTGTCTGTTTCTCCTCGAACTGTCGCTCAGTCATATGCGTGCACATACATACATATGTATCTCCCTCTGTATATATTTGCGTGTCTCTCTCTCTCTCTCTCTGTGTGTGTGTGCGCTTGCATGCATACGTGACTTTTGTGCCGGTTGAGCATGTTTCGCTGCTGCCGGCGCAGGCAGCGCGAACGTCAGGCAGGCCAAAAAGGATGATGGAAATGTTCTCTCTCCTGGCACACACACACACACACGCATAGAAATTTTCGTAGCTGCCGCGCCTGCCACTTCACACCCGCCCGTTGTGCGGCCGTTTCGTTCCACATTAGTGCTCTGCCCGCAGTCGCTGCGCTGCTGCTGCCGCTGCTGTTGTTGTTGCCCCCGGAGAACGCACCATGTCAAAATTGAAATTTTCCACTGCAGTTTGCAACAACTTCAAAAATCGAAGCCCAGTGGCCAAGTGGGCTGGCAACGGATTGCGGACTCAACGTTCACAATGTCTGGCTAATGGCATATCAAGTTGCAAGTTGCAAGTTCCAAGTCGCAAGCTGCAAGTTACTAGCTGCTAGCGGCTAGTGGCAAGTAGCCGGTTGCTAGTGCCATGTGGCAAGCAGCAAGCGGCAAACTCGAGCGCTGTTGCCATGCTGCCTAATTTCACAACAATTAACCCAGAGATCAGGCAAAGATACAGCGCTTCGAGAAGTATCTGAACAGCGAAACGTGCAACAAAACGCTGCAAACTCTGCTGCAACTACAACTGTTAACCTAACCATATCATATCTTTAAAATCTATGCTTATCAAGGCTACAAATGTGTTCCAAAGTAAAATAACTTTTGGCCGGGATCAGCTTTAGCTCGAAAATTGGCATTTCAAATGGAATTACTTCACAAGGATTTTGAGCATATCTGAGAAAACATGAATGAAGAGAGCGAGTCGAACCAGCGACCTCTTTTTTAGCACACAGAAAGTGGAGTCTGGTCTGCTAGCTTCTCTCTCTCTCTCTCTCTCTCTCTCTCTCTCGCTTGCAATTCTCAACAAGTTGAAGCTGCGAAAGGCAAGCTTTGCTGCTGCGAAGAAGAAGAACAAGAGGAAGAAGAACCGACAGCTTCTCGAAGTTTCTGTATATTCCAACCTGTTGTTTAACATTTCATTAAATGTAATAGATAGATGTTATTATATAAAATCAATTGACGCCAGATAGATAAGGTTGCTTGTAGTAAAAAATGCACAGCCTGATGTTCATTTATGTCCAGACACATATGTATTTATACATTATTCATTTACTTTGTATTTCTCAGCTACGAATTTCGTCAGCATTTGAAAGAATCTTTTTCTCGCTGTCCATTATTATTTCTTTTTTGTGTTTGGTCGAGAATAATTTGATATTCATATCAGGATTTCATGCTGTTGTGTCCTTTCATTTCAATTGAATGCATCTCCTAGATTATGAAATGGCCTGCTTCTTCTTCTTCTTGTTGTTGTTGTTGTTGTTGCACGCAGATTGAAAACGACAGATTGAAAGATTGAAATGTATCTGAACCTGTTTCATTGTGCGTGTGTGCGTGCGTGTGCGTGTGTGCGTGTGTGTCAATAGAATTTTCGTATCCAATTGAAATGAAATTCTGTGAAGTGTGTGTATCTTATGCTGCTGTCAGATACATTAGCTTTTGTGTAGATATTTTAACCAGATAATAAGCCAAATGTCTCTCCATCTATCTGACTGTCTGTCTGTCTGTTTTTTTTTTGTTGTGGCTTCAGTGAGCTCCTGCCTGGGCTTACACACATACATATATAAGGATCAAAGTGCATTTGGCAGCTGAAGATACATTTTTTAAAAAACAACAACAAATTCTTGTGCAATTTAAATTGTGCCCTCTAAAACAGAGCAGTCACATTTTCCAATTTTCCTACTTTCCCACACATGAGCATCAATTTTCATATGGGCGAAATGAGCAGAAAACGTGCGCGGGCAAAGAAAAGCACCGGCAATTTAACAAGAATCAAGTTGAGTTTTCATTTTCTTTTTATTTTTATTTTTCTTGATTTTTTATTTTATGTGCTAAGGTGAAATTGTTGCCAGCCAATGAAAAGGCAAATTTTCTCGGAAATGGTCTATGCAGATCTCTAACATTTCACGGAAATCTATAATGATGCCAAGTAAACATAAAACCTGACTACTTCTATAGATACTCTGTCTCAAATTTGTTTAATAAATAAAAGATACTCTTGTATCTGATAGATTATACGTATGTAAATGCAATTCGATAAGCAAATCACAATTAAAGCCAATTGATTCATAATTTGCAGATAATAAAGTGCTGACGTGCCCACTCACACACAGATACGCACACACACACACACACAAACTCGCAGCGAACACAAGAAAAAGCTGGGAAAATGCGAAAACAATTCTAGTTCACACTCAAAAACGATACGCCTGGCGCCATCTATCGGCCAAACGTTTGCTCAGCGCACAGCGAAGAGCGAAGAGCGTGTGAGCAGAGCAACAACTACAACAACAACAACAACAACAGCGTACAAAGGCAATTTTAAATATGTAATCAATTAATTAAATTAATTACATATATTGTGCAAGTATTTAACATGAAATGAGCAGTACAAAAGTATCTGAAAGATGCACAATTGATTTATGCTCAATAAGCCAAACGCTTGCAAAGTTTCTTTTACACAATTTGGCGTAAAGTTTTGTGAAATTAAAAGTTGTTGTCGCCATTAGCATAAATGCGTGTGTGTGTGTGTTTGTGTGTGTGTGTGAGTGCGAGGATACTGAAAACAATTGAGAGTTCTTTTTTTAAATTTTGTATTTCTTATTGCACAATTTTTGATTCAATGAATTGAGTTATATTTTTTGAGTTTTTATTTCTCTTATGTGTGCACAGCATACTCAATTGAAATAACGACTTTGAGTGACTTGCGAGCGCACACAACACTCAAGAGCAACCATCAGTCTGTGCTGCTCTTAAATTTTGCTCTTTGAGCGCAGCTCACAGCTGACGGCAGACCGAGCGTGCCGCTGAGCTGCTTGCACACAGCGCACAGCTGATGCGACTCAACTCTTGAGCCTTTGCTCTCTGACACGAAAACAACAACAACGGCATGAGCAACATTTGACTTTGCAGCTGTTTCGCTCATCATCTGTTTTTCTGGCGCACAGCAGGTTCCCGCATGTCCCACTCGCACGCACACACACATACACAAAGTTATTGCTGTACATAAATAGGAGGTACATATATTGTATGAGTATATGCACATTCGCATACATAGGCAATGCTGTATACAAAGTCAGTCGTGGCCGTTCAACGTTTTTATGGGCGCTGCAGCTCTGCCGGCGTCGCTGCCGCCGCTGCTCCAAACACTTCTCATCGGCAGTCAGTATCTTGATTTTCCAACTCGTTTCTCGCAGTCAACGCGCCCCCAAATCACACACACGCATGCAAGTAATATATATTTGGCTATATATGTATGTGTGCGCTGTATGTGTGTGTGTAATTTGCCTAAGGTTTTGTTGCTGCCGCTGCGGCTGCGGTTGTTGTTGCTGTTTTCCTATTGCCTGCGCCTTGTTGCCGTTTTTCACTCACAGTGTGAGCTGAGCCGCCTGCAAACGAGTTGTACAACGGCAACGTCGCGCTCATCTGTTTTTCAACACATGTATGCACACACACACACATGCATATCTATGTATTGCGTGTGTGTGCTGCGGCTGTTGTTGTTGTTGCCGCCGCTGCTGCTGCTGCTGCTGTTGTTGATGTTTGCTTGTTTTCTTTTTAGCTCGCTTATTTATTTATTTATTTTTTTATGTCTTCGCTGGCAGAGCAAGAGAGCCGAAGCCGCGGCCGCGGCCGCGGCCGAGGCAGACCCGGCCGGTCGCTGTTGCCGCTGCAGTCGAAGCCATTGCAAAGCTCGTCTTGCAGTTGTTGTTGTTGTTGTTGCTGCTGTTTCTTTTCTTCGTTTTGCTTATGGGCAATCATCTGTTTTATTTTGCACACACACACACACAGACACATAGGCGCGCAGAGAGACATGCATGCTTGTGTGTGTATGTGTGTATCTCACAGATACAAAGTCATTTCAGTGTATCTTTTGCTTGTGTTGCATTTGCCGTCAGCTTTTTTTTCCATCAATAGTTCATTTTCTGCTTGGCAACGAGTTTTTTCTTTTACTTTTTTCAGTGCTTTATATTTTTTTTTGGGCTACGTAGCTTCATGAAATTGGAGAAAACTTGGCAATGATGAAATTACTGGACATACGTGAGCACCAGGCATGGGCTCTCCGCGCCTATGCTCAAGCCTTCTCTCCTTAGCGCCTGTGGGGCCATCTATGCATTGCATACATCTACAATGTCTCCACAACCCCTACTTACCTCCCCCTCCAATGGTGGGCGACGTAGTCAACAGGCAAGCAGCGAGCTACTCAACAA